TTTAAAAAAAGGAAGATATATGAAGTTTGGCCCATGTACTAAAAGATGATCAGATAGGCTAAGCTTTTAAAAAAGTGTCACATCAACAAACAATCACAAAATCTCAATGGCTTAAAACAACAAAGGTTTATTTCCTGCTCACATTATATGTCCAATGCCAGTTGCTCATTCAGTGTCTCAGGGACCCAGGCAGATGGAGGCTCCATCTCAACACATGCTTCCATGACCATCACAGCAGAAGCGAGCACTGGATGGTCTCACACTGGAAATTAAATATTCTAGCATAGAAGTGACACAAGTCACTTCCAACATAAACCCGGAAGGAGAAAAGTAGCTAGGGAGAACATGAACAATCTCTACCCCTGGTGATACGAAGACCAACAAGCTGTGGAATAACAAAGGGATTTGTTAAAGAGGGTGCTCCAATAAAACAACTCCATAACTCTAAGGTTCTCAAATCCTAGACCTGGGAGGGTGTATAGGGGTCATTTTAGAGTAGTGGCCTCAACATGAAGGCACCTCAAACAACACAAACCCGGACTCTGAATTTTTCAGGGCAACTCTGCTTTTTTCTCTAACTGTACTGAAGGTCCAGATAAGTTTTTATTTAGGAAACACAAAAAAAGTTTCTACAGCTGAAAAACATTTGAAAACCACTAATGTAAACCAAATCCTTTGTTTTACAGATTAAAAAAAGTAGACAGGGGAAAAAAGGGAGGCCCAGGAAGTTAAAGTGACCCCACCCCACCCCCAGGAAAGCTCCGGAATGTTTAGCAGATGTCCTCTGACAGATTTGCTGTACCGCTGCACCACCCTCTGGTCTTACCCTTCATCTCTGCTCCCTTTAACTGGCACAAGAGAGACAGACCCAGACCAAGACCATGTCACACAACAAATGGTATGGACCATAAGTTGTCCCCACCCTACTGCACTAAATAATGATTCACATCCCGTTAGCAATTCTCTACATTATTCATTCCCTACTTCCTGGCAAATGTGAAGCCATTAGTAGAAGTTAATACTAACCTTCAGGAGACTTTCGTTTTGTTCTCAGAAGAACAGGTTAACAGCCAGCTATGATTTGTATTCGCTCAATTCCATTCTCTTCTCATGTTCCCAAGCTCTGCTTTGTGCCCAGCTTTTCCTCCACCTTCACTCACAGTAAAGCACTGGGTGTCACATACTTAAGCCTCAGTGGTCTTCTCACCTCCAGTTTCTGTCTTTTTCAAATCATCTTATACTTGCTAGCCCATGAAATAAAACTCAAAACTTTTCAACCTGGAATCGTTACCTCCTCAATTTTACCCCAGCCTACTTTTCCAACATTCTCTCTGCTGTAGTACTTATCTTGCCCAGCCAAAGCAAGATGAAGGGCCTGGAAGTCAAAATGACATAGTAATGAATCCTAGATCTCGTGCAAGTTCCTTAATCTGAGTTTCAATGTTCTCTCCTATAAAATTGATATGATGGTGTCAACTTTGAGAAGCTTTTGAGAGAATATAACAGTGAGGATTCTGTTTGACTACAAGCAACAAATAGTGGCTTGCAAGTAAGAAGGTTATTTGTTTTGGGCAATAAGAAGTATGGGAAAGGGACACCCGGGTGGCTCAGATGGTTAAGCGTCTGACTCTTGATTTCAGCTCAGGTCATGATCTCAGAGTTCTGGGATACAGCCCTGCATTGGGCTCCGTGCTGGGCATGGAGTCTGCTTAAGAGTCTCTGTCCCTCTGCCCCTCCCCCTCCAAAAAAAAAAAAAAGAAGTTTGGGAGAAGTCAGTTTAGGCTGGTACTATGGCTCAACAATGTCATCAAGATCAAGACCCACCCTTCCAAGTTCCAGCTTTGCCATTTTTAATACCTGGTCCTGTCTTTGTTGTTGTAGCTGGCTGCTTCCCTTTCAGGCACTGCACCTAAGTTCCCAGCAGGAAGAAGCAGAAAGGGGCCAAAGTTGTTGGGGTATACTAGCCAAGTGTGTCCTCACTAAGCTTTCAGGAAAGCCCCCATCCAACAACATCCACTTATATCATTATAAGACCTGAGTCCCATGGCCACTCTAGGCTGTTAAGGGAGTCTTAGAAAGTGAGACGTCCATATTCCCATCTCAAACAAAATTGGGGTTCTTTTAGTTAGAAAGGAGACAATGAATATTGGATAGGCAATCAGTAATGTCTATTCCAATATTAAATTATATATTTTATGTAAAGTGCTAAGCACAGCAGTTAACAGCTCAATAAAAGTTGAGCTGTAATTACTGCTATTATGATGATTACAGTTGTTATTATTATTATTAACCTCTCTTACCCTCTGGCCAAATGGAGTAACTCCTATCTAGATATTCCTCTTACATTTCTACTATATATGTATCTATTTGCTCTATATGTATCTCCAACATTATCTCTGCTTCAAGGTCCAGGAAAATGCCATTTCATCCAAGAAGTCTTTCCTGACATCTACTCCTAATAATAAGTTCTATGGTGGCAGAACCCACATCAGACAAAAATTCCTGTGTTCATTATTCCATTGAGCATAGTCTCTTAGAACACAGTAGGTTCTAATAAACAGTGCCTTGATAATTTAAGTAATTCATGTACATATTCATATCCACATTTACAGTCAGTCTTCTAGAATCAAACATGGCATATTCCTGAAATGTAAAAGTTAAACACTAACTTTATATGTCATAAAGCTAGTTGTGGGAATGAGGCAATGAAGACTGTATTCCCCAAGAATAAGACGAAAAAACTATAAAATTCTCTAAGACACCATACTTTTAACATGTTGTAGGAGTTTAGATTATAGTTCATCAAATATTCCCTCCTCTATTATGGGCAGAGTCTACTTTTACCCATGGATTTGATCTTCACCATGTGACGTGCTACGTCCAAAAAGGTTGTTTGTGAAAATGACATTGCTTGTGCCGTTTGACTCAGCTATCAAATCCAGTTATCTGCCACAAGAGGGGTATGCCTCGAGTAGCTGCTATCCCTTCTGCCTGGGCCCCAGAACACATGCAGAGCAGACCAAAACCAAGTGCAGCCGACAGCAGAACTACCCCAGGAGCGCAGCCTAGATCAGTCAAATCACAGTCAACCTAAAAACTCAGGACTGTGAGAATTAATACCTGTTGCTGTAGTCAAGAAGTTTTAATACACAGCAAAAGTTGACTAATGTAACTTTTATCAATTGATGTATTTTAGCATTTCTTACATATTAATTCACTTTGTTCCTTTTCTTCACACAAGAAAGAAGAGACTGAAGGATCTCTGCCTTTGGTACACCCAGTGATGTCTACCTTTGGATCAACTGTTTTAGATATAAGACCTACAATTATCATTAATACCAGTGCTTTTCTATTTTCCATTTGTTCTGTTTTTCTAAAATAAGGAAAGTCACAATAAAGTATCAAGGAATAATTGCTGAAACTAAACCACTGGCTGGCAAATAGGTCTCCAATATAACAGCCAAAATGTTAACTTCTTTTTTTAAAAAGATTTTATTTATTTATTAGAGAGAGAGCACGCACAAGCAGGAGGAATGGCAGGCAGAGGGAGAAGCAGGCTCCCCGCAGAGCAAGGAGCCAATGCGGGACTCAATCCCAGGACCCCAGGACCATGACCTGAGCTGAAGACAGACGCTTAACTGACTGAGCCACCCAGGCGTCCCCAAAATGTTAACTTCTTAGAGGATAAAAGGGTTTATAAAGGGTGTCCCTAGTAAAACAAACAAAAATGTAGATTATACAAAGTTAACCTCACCAAAGTCAAAGACTATCTGTTGAGGTGGATTTATGGATTCCAACACCATTCATTTAAACTAATATTTGAGGGTATCTATGTGGGCAAACCATGACCATTGAGTTTCACCAAAGGGAAGACACTGATAAGGCTGAAGTCTTGTACCCTTTCCAACATAATAAAACAAGAGGGCCATACTATTTCAAGAGAATGATTTTAAATGCAATTATATTTAATTGCTAAGAGAAAAAAGAGTCTCTTTGTAAGTGAAAGAGAAAATAAAATTCTAATCCCTTAGCAAAAGAAAAAAAAAGCCAACTGAATGATAAGAGCATGTATTCAACCAATACCTATTCAGAACTCCAACTGGAAATTTAAGGTATCAGTAAAAATAGAAGAGTGTGGATTTTGTTTTGTTTTACCTTCTTTTAAATAATCATCATTATATTTGGAACCAAATTTCCACTGGGCCAAAGCTGACTCACTAGAAATATATAATACACAAAGTTACTAAATTTGTCTCTTGGTGAAGTGATGGCCTTCAGAGAGACAAAGCACACAGTACAAAGGCCATTAACATCCCAGTGGATTCTAAACAGAATAGAACCTATCTATGCTGGGAGAGTCCATACTTCAGAACGGACACATATAGACGGCACAACCAAAATTTGAATTCAAGGTCACAGGCTCTGGGTCAGAGAAACCTGGACTCAAGTGCTCACTCTTACCCTAAACTGAAGCAAGATACATAATCCCGTTTAGCTTCCTTATCTATAATTTGGGGGTAATAATAACCCCTACCTCATAGGAGCTCTGAAAGTTTTTAAAAAGATAATGTATGTAAAATATCCACAAAGGGCTAGCATTTACAACAGCAATAATAATAGTAATAATACTACCTTGACAAACCTGGCTCGCACAGAAAAAACCCTAATCAGTGTACTCTGGCTCATAATCTGTTCATGAAACACTGAATGCACAGCTTTATACTCACATCCAGATACAGCTTCTATAAGGTAACAAGATCAACCAGTAATTTTTCTGCCGAATTCAGGGAGAAGGGCACTGGGAAAAAAATAAGCTTTTCATTTATAGAGAACTGAGGAGGAGCTGGTCCTGCTGCCCACACTCCATCCACCCATGAAAGTCTTGCTGATGAAACCATGCTTCCATCACCATCCACACACCGCCCTCCCAAACCGTGCAGGGCTTTTATTAAAGCACAGAGGCAGACAGACAAGATGGCTCACCTTAGAAGCAAACTCACCTTAAAGGCAAACTCTTCTACCCTCCGGAAAGGATCTGGCTCGACCCCACTGCCACATCCAAACTGACAGCCAAACTGTAAGTGAAGAAGGCAAGCCCTCACTTCCAGAAGTTGAGTTACACTGTCAAAAACTAAAGGAACCTCTTCTATTCGTGGTAATCCTAATAAAGCATGCTAGTCTGCTTCAAAAATATCTTATAAACCCATTAACAGAGCCAATTGCAACTGCATACTGAGAAAACAATGTGACTTTACAAGGACAAGAGTGACCACAGGAGACAAAGCGCCACACCCTTTTTCCAGATAGCTCAACGGAAACGGTGTCTCTTATAAAGGAGCCTGCAATTCTAGAGAAATAGGTGGACAATTCTAACCTCCAACACACCCCCCATCATTGCATTTTTCACACAGATCCATTTCCTTTTCATTTTAAGCCAATGGCCTGAGCATCCCCAACTACTACAACTACTGAGAGGAGAAGGAGGAGAGAAGAAACAAACACAAGTCAACCATACTTGCTTCTAAGCGCATTTACGAAGAGTTTTCTTCCCGCTTGTCTCCCTCTCACAGCTGGACCCTCATACCTGGTGGAAACCAATGGTTAAGTAAAACCACTGATTTAAAAAGCCAACCAGGAAACTAACCATGACAAGTGGGAGCTGCCCTCCTCTCCCGAGCGTTGATTGGCTCTTGAGGTTTTACCGGTCCCCGTTCTGCCTACATAAGTGGCAGGTGTGACTGTCAATCACAGAGGGACCTGACAATTCACCGCTCCGGGAGTAAATTGCCTTTCATCCAGCAAAGGCAGGTAGCCGCCTAAAATCGATCCGCTCCTAACAGAGCAGACCCTCCCTCTCTGGCAAGGAGAGCAGAGACCCTTAAGTACAAAATAAATAAGGCCGGGCCGATCCGAGAGTTTATGAGCGCTGTTTTATTATCCCGCACCAAAGCAGCCCTTAATCTTCACTGTCCTAAGATGATCTTTCAAAGCCTCGGACGAAAATTTTTATAAAAAATGAAAATAAAAAATTAGGTACAACCTTCTAAGTATCCTTTTTATTGTAAAATTCGGAGACGGGGAGGGGGAGAAAAGGAATGTCGTTCAGTTTAATCTCACATCGTATTCATTTTCATACACCACCACCCTCTACCCCTCCCCAATAAAACCGGCTTCATTTTCCCTGACACGATTTTTTTTTCTTAATACCCTCCCCTCGGAGCCCACCGAGGCAGCCAGGCACCCCACCCCCCTGGACTGGGGCTCCACCTTTCAACACTTTGTTCTGCTTGGGGTTCGCCGAGACCCTTGCCCCTGAGAACACCCCACCCCTCGAGGCAAGAGGGGAAAAGCCAGGAGAAAGAGGGGGGGAGCTGGAGAGAAGAAAGGCGATGGCAGTGAGGGTGGCTGCCGGAGAGGGACTGCGGGAGGTGGCCCGGGCCGCCGGGGCGAGCGAGCGGCGCCCGCGCGCCAGAGCAAGCCGTGCACTTGTTCCAATCCGGGGGTTTCTACATCAAGGCAAATCCGCCCTTAGGCCGCCCCATCCTTTCCCCCGCCCCAGAAAGCCCCGGTGGAGGCGGATGGTTCACCCCTCGGCTCCCCGCGATAACGCATTGCAGCTCCCCACGAGTGAGGGGGACCCGGCACGAGGGATGCCCGGCACCGGCGCCCCGAGGGAGCCGGGCGCCCAGCGGCCCCGGCCCCGGCGTCGACGTCTCACCTTTCCGATGCTCGCCCCGGGGCCGTCCCACATGGATTTTTACAACCTCACGTCGCCCTGGCCCCGGGCGGCCGGGAGGAGCCGGAGCCGGCGCCGGAGCCCGAGCGAGCAGGAGCGGGAGGAGGAGGAGGTGGAGCGGGGCTAGGAGTGCACGGCTCGGAGGGCCGGGGCCGGGCGCGGGGCCGGGCGGGGCTGACGGCCGAGGGGGCGGCACCCGCCGCAGTCCCGAGACGCGCGCTCGCGCGGCGCTGCCAGGGCTGCGCTCCGCCGGGCCCCCCGCCCGGCCGCTCCGCGCGCTCGCCTGCTCGCCGCGGCCCTGACTCACATTCCCAGCATTCCCGAGGAGCCGCTGGGGGGGCCGGGGCTGGGACGCGGGCGCCTCCGCGGGGGGCAGCAGAGAGCGCCTGGCCTCGGGCAACGGGGGGTCTTCGAAGCGCCACCTCCCAGTCAGCCGCCTTCTCGAAGCACCTGGCCCTCATCTCCTCTCCCCGACGCCCCTTCCCGGCTACCCCCCTCCAAAGGCTGCCAGGCACTCCTAGGACTGGTCAGGTGGCTTCGGTGACAGGGACAGGGATGGTACTTGGTAGAGGGGATGCAACTGTCAAAGTTAAGCTTTGCCGCGGGGGGGGGGGGGGGGCCAAGGTTCTCATACCCTGGCACCCTCCTATTAGCTTAATCTTCTTTAGGAGAGTGAAGGGATTTCGTAAGGTTTTCACTTTCTTGTTCCCCTAAGGAAAAGAGAGAATGGAAGATGAAAAAGGGAGCAAGGAAAAAGAAATCAACATCATAGTTATGCCATTCATTGAATGCCTTCTCTGTGCCCTGCAATGTGCGTGCATCGTCCCATTTAAGGTAGAAAGATGGCGTCTGATCATTACACACACACATACACACCTCAAGATAATGTGCAGCAGGAATTGGACACGTTTTTCATTGGAAAAAGCTTCCACCCAACAAGTCCGGAGCACCAGCCACCACTGGTGGCTTTTATATTAGGGGTGGGACTCCAAACTTCACTGGAATCTCCAGATTTGGTCTCTCACTAAGTAGTCAATTTGCAAGACTAGAGCAGTGATTTCCTTCCTGTCCTGATGAGTCTGCTGCCAGCAATTTCAGTGGCCAAATCTAAATGTCTCCTGCTGGGAAGCTCCAACAAATGAAGCTAAATCCAACCATGGGATGTCTGGATGAGCAGAGGTATGGAATCAGCACAATGACTAGGGATGACTCCTTCCTTTCTCCCATGATGGGAATTGAAATATTTAATGAATGAAGTAGACTCTACTCAAATGCCCTGTTCCTTAAGCCTTCCTTTTACACCTCTAGTGTTCATAGTTTTTCACAGACTCATGGCCCCTGAGGCCTCCTTGCCCTTACCCTCTTCTTTCTCTTGGTTACCAAGAAATCAGCACTCATTCTGTCGACCTGAATGCTCCAGGGTAAAACCAAGCAACACCTGTTGTGTTTAGTTTTCTGTGTACCTCCTTGATAGCCTTTGCTAAAAAGGCTTGTTAGATAGATAGATAGATAGATAGATAGATAGATAGATAGATAGATAGATGATAGATAGATGTACCTTGTTGAGAGTGCTTCAAGAAGTCCTAAAATCCCTTATCTTTTGAAATGTGACCAATGTTTTTTGACTACCTCCTATGTGCGCCACTTACATTTTTTCTACTACTCTTAAAAAACTCTGTAAGATATTTACTATCTTTCAGAAAAGTCAGGTAACATATCCAGCTGAGAATGTATTTAAATCTATGCCTAAAGCTCACTATTCTTGGCCACCCATTCCCTTTTCCTTTGATCCATGGGTTCTAAACAACAATCACTGGACTTCATGGGGACAAGTTCTTGTTTATATGCCTATGTACATTTTCCCCCAGAGAGAAGATCTATGGTTCTCAACAGATTTCTTTTGCGTTGGGTCCTTGAAAAAGTTAAGAATAATCACTTTAAACAGAAAGCAACTTTATGTAGCAAAACAAAGACTGGAAGTTTTAGGGATCTTAAGTCATCTTTATCCTCTCTGGGACTTAGTTTTCTCATCTGAAAAATTAAAAAGCTGACCTAAAGGATCTTAAGGTACACTGCAGTAAGGGAGACAGACAAGAAAACAGGCCATTACAATATCGCTTATGAAGGAACAATGCTCTGGGTAGTGTAGGAGCATATAGGAAGGACAGCCAACCTTTTCCCTGGGGTTCAGAAATGAATTCCCAAAGAAAATGTCATCAAATTTGCTTGCTACATCCACCCTTCCTGTCCCACCCTGTGCTCAGCCCAGAGCAGCAGCCTGCATACTCTGTGAAGCCAACCATAGGAGATTGAATCTTTGGAGAACACCTGCCCCTGGGTGGGCTGTCTCAAGATCTCCCCACAGTAATTGAAACTGGACCATTGGAATGAGTCAGCCAGTGGGTACTGAGTGGTGAGCTTGTAGCCCAAATCAGAACTAGGGCACCCAAAACCATGGTACCAAAGTCACTGAGAAATGAGCTCTAAGATCTTTGCTGGTCAGCAGAAAGGAGAATAGTCAGCCAAATACACAGAAACTGAGATTCTTAAAGGTCTAAAAGATTTGAATATCTAACTGCTTACTTGATAACACCAATGTGGGTATCTAACTGGCATCTCAAACTTGATTTGTTCTAAACAGGACTCTGGATTTTTATGTACCACATTTCTTCTCTCCCAAGGTCACCCATCAGATTAATGACACCACCCTTTATCCAGTTGCTCAGGTACAAACTTAGAAGCATCTCTGATTCCCTCTTTTGCTTATACCACACCTCTAACCCATCAGCCAGTTTTGTCAGCTCTGCCCAGGGCCATATTGGAGCCTGAAACAAAAAGAAAACTGTGTCCTCCTATATATATATACATATATTATTATTATTATTTTTTGAACCAAGTAGAAAAATTAACAAAATCTCCACACTGAGAAAACACAACTGTATCTAAAGACCCATGTTGCCCAATATGTTCAGTCACTACTGCCAACCCTCTTAAACCTAGCCAGTAGGTAGACAAAATGGCCAAGTGGCCCAGGAACTGAGCACTGGTTAGAAATGATTGTTCTTGTTGCACAATGATACAGAGTCATAAAACACAGAAACAACAACCTCTTTCTCCTTTATACATATACACAACCAGGAAGATGCAGGACTGAGATTCAAATCTATGTGTTGGTTCACAAACTGGCCCCCTTACATGGAGGGCAAGGAGAGCCCAAAGAAAGAGGCAGACCATTCCAGATTGGTAGGTGTCAGGTTTAATAAGAAAGGGACCTTACATACAAGGCTAATCTCCAGTGATTCCAAGATGAGTAGATCTCTGCACCTGCCCATCAGAATCTTAAAAGTTTATATAGAGGCCCTAACAGCATTCGGTCATGTATACTGTCCAGATGGTCTCAACAACACCTTACTCTCTCAAGGCTCGTCCTTAAAACGGTTCCCACTGTGGGAACAGTGAGCAGAGTATATATGTTCTAAGGACTGGGGAGTGAATGAGGAGCTTCAAATTACCCAGGTCCAGCTCGTGGTCAACTGGTGAACACATTCTCTCAATTACTTCCTCCAACACAAGGCAGTCTGGCTCCAGAATCAACACGGCAAAATCAATTGGACTTGGTGTTGCTTGGATATGGGACAAGAGGGAGGAGCCAAGAATCCTCCCAGGAGTCTGGTTCAGGCAACTGGATAATGTATCATTCACTTAGACTGGAAATAAAAGTGGAGGTGGGTGATACAGCTTTATAGAAAATTTATGAATAATTTATGGATTCATTTGGAGCTTTTTGAATTTGTCATGCCAGGGACCTCAAGGTGGAAATATCCAGAAAGTGACTATCTCATTGTGCTTTGAAGTGAGATGAGAGATTATGA